CAAGTACGTTTATGAGGCTGATGAATCATGTGTTGAGAGCATTCATTGGCAAATTAGTGGTGGTCTACTTTGATGACATTCTGATCTACTCAAAGAGCATGGAAGAGCACCTTGAGCACTTGAGGGACGTGTTGAAGACTTTGAGGAAGGAGCAACTCTATGCCAACCTCAAGAAGTGTACATTTTGCACCTCAAGCGTGGTGTTTCTGTGTTTTGTCGTGAATGCTAATGGAGTTGAAGTCGATAAAGAGAAAGTAAAAGTGATTCAAGCATGGCATACTCCTACCAACATGAGTGAAGTAAGAAGCTTTCATGGATTGGCTGGCTTTTATCGACGATTTGTGCCCAACTTTAGCACCATTGCGGCACCATTGACCTCAATTATCAAGAAGAATGTGGCGTTTTATTGGGGAGAAGAGCAAGAGAAGGCATTCGAGCTCCTCAAGTACAAGCTTACTCATGCTCCTGTTCTGATGCTACCAGATTTTAACAAGACGTTTGAAGTGGAGTGTGATGCATCAGGATTGGGAATTAGCACTGTATTGATGCAAGAGAAGAGGCCCATTTGCATATTTCAGCGAGAAGTTGAGCGGAGCTACGCTTAATTACCTGACTTATGATAAAGAGCTTTATGCGCTTGTTCGAGCTTTGGAGACTTGGCAACACTACTTGTGGCCAAAGGAATTCGTCATACATACTGATCATGAGTCTCTCAAGTATTTGAAGGCCCAACACAAGTTGAACAAGAGGCATGCTCGTTGGGTGGAGTTCATTGAATCATTTCCTTATGTGATCAAGTACAAGCAAGGCACGGAGAACGTAGTTGCTGATGCATTATCACGAAGATACACGTTGATCACTACCATGGATGCAAGATACCTTGGATTCGAGCAAATCAAGAGCATCTATGAGGAGGATTCTGATTTTCGAGAGATTTACAAGCTTTATGAGAAGCATGGAGAAGGGAAGTACTATCGACATGAGGGCTACTTGTTTCGTGGTAATCAACTTTGCATACCACGTACTTCACTTCGAGAATTGCTACTACGAGAAGCTCATGGAGGAGGATTGATGGCACAGTTTGGTGTAGCCAAGACTTTGAGTTGCTTACAAGAGCATTTCTATTGGCCTCATATGAAAAGCGATGTGGAGAGCTTATGTGCTAGATGTGTGGAGTGCAAGCAAGCTAAATCGAAGGTGCAATCGTCTGGATTGTACATTCCACTACCCATTCCATCGTTAACGTGGGTTGATATATCTATGGACTTCGTATTGGGGCTGCCAAGGACAAAGAGAGGTCGAGATTCTATCTTTGTGGTGGTGGATCGATTCTCAAAGATGGCACATTTCATTCCATGCCATAAAACGGATGATGCGGTTAATGTGGCGGATCTGTTCTTCAAAGAGGTGGTGCGACTACATGGGATGCCACGCACCATTGTTTCTGATCGAGATGCTAAGTTCTTGAGCTACTTTTGGAAGACGTTGTGGAGCAAGCTTGGAATGAAGCTCTGGTTTTCGACTACTTGTCACCCTCAAACGGATGGGCAAACTGAAGTGGTGAATCGTACTCTATCTCAAATTCTTAGAGCCATCATCAAGAGCAACATCAAGACATGGGAGGACTGCCTACCTCACGTGGAGTTCGTTTACAATAGAGTCGTGCATTCGACAACGAAGCATTCTCCATTCGAGATTGTGTATGGGTTCAATCCTCTTACCCCATTGGATTTGACACCTTTACCTTTGAAGGAGCAAGTAAACATGGATGGAGCTAAGAAAGCGGAGTATGTGAAGAATCTCCATGAGAAAGCTCTGCTAAATATTGAAAGAAGGACGGAGAAGATCTTGAAGAACGTCAACAAGCATAGAAAGGCTCAAAATTTTGAAGCAGGAGATTGGGTGTGGGTGCATATGAGGAAAGAAAGGTTCCCAAATCAAAGGAGATCCAAGTTGCTGCCCAGAAGTGAAGGTCCCTTTCAAATCATTTCGAAGGTTGGAACAAATGCATACAAGCTTGATCTACCAGGAGAATACGGCATAAGTGCAACCTTCAACGTTTCTGATCTTGCACCATTTCTGGATGATAATTCGGATTTGAGGGCAAATCCTTTTCAAGAGGGAGGGACTGATGAGGTCATCAAAGCCAAACACACTCAAGTTGAAGGGCCAATGACTCGAGCTAGGGCTAAGGCTTTTCGGGATCAAATTGCAAGCTATTTGGCTAAGGAGTTGGAGGGCTTAAGCTTGGATTTTCTAAAAAGAAAGTCCATCACACTATTGAGCTATGTGGATCACGAAATTGGGCTCAAAGGGAGGGAAGGAGGGTCGGCCATGGAGAAGGAGTCTCAAGGTGTGAATGGAATCAACAATGGATAAAGATCATGGTATGAACACAAGGTGTGAAAGGAATTTCAAGTGTGAACACAAGGGTTGATGTCGCTCAATTCATTATGGATTAACTCCATTACGAGCTTAGGCTTGGATCTTGGTCGAGTACTTAAGGGTTTGACTTTTTCTTGTGACTGGACAATTTTAAAGAACCCTTGCCAAGTTTGTTAAATTGTTTCGGTCGATTAATGAGATGTATATGTGATGCTTTATGCTAAATGATGTTGACATGTGAATGCCAAATGATTTTCAATGCACGCATATCACGTCATTTATGAGTAAACGATAAGACACAAAATACTTATAAAAATCGTAACGAAAGATCACCTTGTTTATGTAAACCTAGGATTTTTCGGAAGGTTGACGAGGTTTGGTTTTAGAACTTGACTTAGAAGGGATAGGGTGGCTTCTAAGCTGATTATATGATGGATATGATTTCCTACGAATTGAACCTCAAGTTGTACCTTGCCAAAACCTTTCGAGTTTAGCATAATACCTCAAATCAACCTTGGATATGAGTTCAACTTGGTTAGAAATTCCACGTTATTCCCCTACTATTGTAGAAGTCACAATATTCCCTTCATTCTCTAATGGGAGAGCTCGGGTATAGAACTTTGATGCATGAATGTAGGGCTCCTGTTGTCCATAGTATCGATTTTGGATCATGGGTCGAACCAAAGTGGTTGGGCCTGGATTGTTGGGCTTGACATCAGGCTTTGACTTGGTTGACTGAGTCTGACTGGAGTTGACTTTTGTTAACTTTGGGTTTGGGCTTTGACTTGGGCCCTATTTATTTTATTGTACAACTTGTAATTACTATTGTAATTCAGTGTAACGCTCAATTTATTTAGTAATTGAAACTGGAATTTTTATTTAGTATTTGTAATGCAATTGTTATTAATAGAAGAAATTATTATGTTTCTTTTTCTATTCCAAAAGTCGAGATCCAACCTCGTCAAGCCTAATGTCTTAAGAAAATCGAATTGAGAGAATGTTTAATTTGTCTAATATCGTAAAATAGTATCGATTGAGATTTGCTTTTACATAATCTCATTGAGTTATGGCAAACAAGACCCAACCAAAGTCCTACAAATATGTTTTAGCTAAAATGCCACTAAAGATTCACTATTACAAACATGAGACGCATATTCATTTTACTTAATTAAATATGTTTCCACCCGGACAGAATGTGGTGTCTACAAGATCAACAATTCCTAGTAGTTAAATCTTGACGAGGCACCATTTTCTTATAAGGATGAGAATTCGGTGATTTAAAAGGATTTTAGGTAAAAGTTCACTTCATGTGCTATTAGTTTGATTACATTGTAGAGTGTACCCACTTAATATCTACCAATATATATTAGTTTGATATGAACTGAGTTGAGGAATTTTACAGTACTATATAGCATTGGTGCTATAGGTTTTTGCCTTTATGGTACAACTTGAAATTGTACCTTTAACGTTACGGTACAACTTCAGATTGTACCTATACTTTTTGTACAAATTCTTTTATGGTACAACTTAAACTTGTACCATATGTGATGGTACAACTTCAAGTTGTAAAGTTATACCATAACATAATGATACAAATTCCTTTATGGTACAACCTAAACTTATACATTTAATGTTGTGGTACAATTTCAAGTTGTACATTAAAGCACTAATGCTATATAGCATAGTAGAAGTTAGGGGTGTTCAAACGGTTTGGTTACCGTGGTAACCGTTTTAACCGGTACCATTTGGATAATTTGGTTTGGTTAATTTGGATAATTGGTTTGGTTTGGTTAAAGTTTTTAGCTTGTTTGGTTTAGGTGGTTTGTTTTGGTTTCAGACACTCCTAACCAGTCAAACCAAATTAACTAGTTAAGTAATTAGTCATATATCTAACATATATTATATACACATACTTAATACTTTGCATAACCACTCAAGAGTTAACGTTCATCCCTTTTAGACTCATAAAATATAAAGCTCAATATTGCTCATAGAGTGTATATTTGTATATGTAAATTGTAGACCACAACATATGGACGCCTAATTTAGATAAATTTCATACATTATGATGGATGAAAACTTGAAAGGAAGGTCATTTCCAGCCTATGGTAATTGCTAAGAGACTAAGTCAATTTACACAAACACAACAATTCATTAACCCATACCATTGTCATAAATTTTTGTTAGGTGAATACTTCTATACTAATCGTAAGATCTTAGTTGCATGTATTTTTGTTAAGGGTCAACTATAACTAAGTGTTGATTGTTATGTTTTATTCATTATATAAATTGCGAATTGTTGCATTAACCAGAAAATTTTCATCGTCAATGATAATGTGATTTTATATTGGTTAATCTGGTTAACCAATTAACCAAACCGATTAGACTTTAGCTTGGTTAATTTGGTTGTTGTATTAGTTTGGACGGTTTGGTTATGATATTGTATTTCATGGTTAATGGAATTTAGTCTTATTTGATTTGGTTATAACCATGGTAACTATTTGAACACCCTAGTAGAAGTGCTCGAACTGAGTTATCAACTACTTCCACTTGTTTTCCATGTCCTCACAATTTGAAGCAAATTGACATTTATATTCATAATAATTAGTATGAACATGTCATGTAAGATTTCATTAATCATCAATTTGAAAAAACATATGCATCATAGACAAGTATTGATAGTTTCCGCTCGTAATCGGTTCCACACATTCGGGAACCTTATTAAATGCGAAAAGCAAGATAAGATAAAGATAGACCCAAACACAACCAAAGCAGCAGACGGGTAAAACAAAAACATAACGGACTTACAAGAGTAGGGGAAGGAGAGACGCACATTTATACAAATATATCTAGAAACACAGAGTGAAGTTATTGGATCATTTTGTACCAGATGGAACAATCTGCCAATTCGAGCCTAGCATCAAGGGTATGCTCGCAATTGCTCTTGAGTTTGTTCTTAGCAGTGACCAAACATGCCCAACAATCCAGCTTCCAAAGGTGCCTGTCACAGGTAGCGCCTCCGATAACCGAGCCGTTGTCACGATTCGGGTAGCTGTGAACGTAACTGTAATCGTTGTGATGACTGCGCTGCACATTTTTCGTCTCGTCGACGAATATGTTAATGAGACGAGCCACTTTGCCGTTGTACTCTTGATCCTCTGACTTGCCGATACAATCCGGTCCCCTGACGATGCTCGTGTCTGCAAGCCTCGCGTCGACGACAAGGAAGCTCGAAATGGTTAAGAGCAGGAAAGCTGCCACCACCATCAATTTTGATCCGGAATCCATACTTTCCTTCTTTCTTCTTCTTTCTTTTTTGGCTTCGCTCTCTGTTTCTTTCTGTTTCAGCTCTTTATGTACACTCTCCTCCCAAACGACCCTATTAGCTGCTTTTTGTATGGTGTGTGTAGGGTGAGGAATTAACGTCGGTTGCCCACTCCTTTTATAGTTCCTTGATCGCCGGTGGACAAATTAGCCTTCCAAAATCTCATCGCCGACTGAGACAGAACAATGCATCAGGAGAATGCGATTGCGGGAGGTATCTTCCCTCTCTTTGTTGGGGAATGCTCCGTTCATCATCATCGTCATCGATACAGACAAATTGATTCAGCCAGCCAATATACTGTCTACTGGGCGGCCCAAAACGTGAAGCCATTTTCTGGTCAGGTAGTTTGGGCCATCACTCTGCTCCTTACTTATGGGCCAGCCCAACCAACAAACCACCCTAACTGATTTGATGAGATATTTTATCCAGCTAAATTGAGGCTGAAATCCCGTTCTTCTCAGCAGATGATAGGGTTTTAGAGCTCGAAAACCGGTGCCGTCGTCAACAACCGTACGCCGACATCAACTTTGCCCGGCGGAGCTTCTATGACATTCGCCGGCCGTTGAACACTAGAGAGATGGGCGGCGCCACCAGGCTATTCACTCTCCTCACCTCCACGACCTCTTCCTCCCTGCTTCTCCTCCCTCACCACCGCCAATGCCCGGCTCTTCTCCGCCTTGCCTGCCGCCACCGCCGCCGTCAGCTCTCCTTCTCTTCCATCCCTCACCGCATCCGCTGCAGTCACAACCTTCAATCCTCGACTCCGTCTCTTCCTCCCTCCTTCCGAGCTAAATCCTCGCGCCAATTTTACGCTCAGGCCACCTTTGCCGGTCAATCGTCCAATTCATCACATCAGCCGCCTCCGGCCTTCCATCAGTGGCCGGAATGGTCCAATTTCCTCCAAAATATCTCTGCTTTGCGGTATTTTAATCGCCAGGTGATTGACTCGGAAATTGAAGAGTTCGTGGACCCGACGAATTTGCCTGATGAGTTCGTGAGAACTACCATTGCTTGCTTGGCTTTCGGGCGTGACAGGCCTGAGATTTTGGGGTCCAGAAGAGAATTTTTTTCATTCGAGAAAGCAATTCAATTCTAGGCATATTGTTTCTCTGTTTTTCAATTCTACATCCACCTTGAATTCATTCCTTTCGTTTGTATCTTCAATTTATAGGCTGCTGTCCATTGCGACGGCAATTACCAACGGCATGCCTCTTTTGCTGTTCAAAAATGGTGAGGAGCTGGTCAGAAGAATGCAGCTGTTTCTGGATGGACAGAGCAGAAACGTAAGTTTTAGATGTCATTGTGCTATCTCTTGCTTTTATGTACGATGATGCTTTCTGTTTAAGTGAGAGTACAAAATTCAGTCAACGATTCAGCATTGAATATCTATGAATTGCCGGTGTCAGAGCTAATGTACAATCGTACTATGAATATTTTAGGTGCCTAGCACGGATAGAGCGCAGACAGTTGATTTGATGAAGATCTTAGCGACTTATGCTGGCAATGTTATGCTTTTTGGGAACATGAACATAGATAGCAAGCAAGAGGTTGAGTTATCTGTTCGTAACATATTGGGTCAGTTGTCCCAGTTCAGCTATAACAGCATTCCTAGTTTTCAACCATCTCCAGCTGTGCGAAATCAGTTCTTAGAGAGAAATGTTCCAGGACCAAGTCCGGTTGGACCAAATGTTGAGATGAAGAAAGGTGACTGGATTTGTTCAAGGTAAGTTCTTTGCCTTGAATCTGTTGTTCTTTGTTTCACTCGATTCTTATTTTGGTGGTGTCAAGGTATGGAAGTGCTTTGAGGAATTAAAGCGTAAAACTCATTGGTCAATGACATTGTTTGTTGCCCGTTGTTGGGCAGGTGTAATTTTATGAACTTTGCAAGGAACATCAAGTGTCTTGATTGTGAAGAAGCACGCCCGAAGAGACAGCTTACTGGGGGAGAGTGGGAGTGTCCTGAGTAAGCAGTTTCTTCGTAGATGTAGCCTTTATTTTGTCTTGCTTTGAGGTTATCCTCATTTTTTATAAATTATTCTCCGAAACTCTTTCATGTAGATGTGATTACTTCAATTATGGGAGGAATATGGTGTGCATAAGGTGTGACTGCAAGCGCCCCGGAGAAGTATCACTAAGGACCATGGGGTCTGGACCAGGTCTCGAGTCTGGATATGGAACCCAATCAAATGGCGGTGATATTGATAACCGTTTGGCTGCCAATGAAGAGAAGGCACAGCGGTGGTTTAGTAGGATGTCTCAGATGGACAATAGTTCAGACATCAACAGTGCTATACCGGATGAAGATCTCCCTGAAATCATGCCCTTGAGAAAAGGAGGCAATATGTTTAATGTAAGCACATGGAAGACTCCTCTTGAGAGAAGGCTGAGCAATGCTCAAAACCAAAAAGCCTCGGGGAATGATAGCAACAGGCTTCAACCTACAGGTATAAGCTCCTAATCCCTGACCGAAATTACGGATGTGTTTGTTTCACTTTCTCTAAATGATAAGTACATTTTCAAGCGTGACACTTCAGATAATTCCTGATCTCATGCGCTTCTACCATCTCTTCAGATAACTTTAGGCCCCCTGCTTCAAGCACTGTTGAGCAGAGTGTGTTCGAGGACAAACAAGGTGATAATTCTGATAGCTGGTTCAAGAAAGTTGCAGAGCTACATAATGTGGCAGACGTGGATAGTGCGTTGGCAGATGATGATTTCCCTGACATCATGCCAATGCGCAAGGGCGAAAACAGATTTGTAGTTCCGAAGAAGAAAGATCGGTCTCTCACTTCTCCCCTGTACAAGAGACGCGCTGCCATGGAGCAAGCAAACGATACAAATTATGTACCTTTCGTGCCCTTCCCTCCCAACTACTTTGCCAAGAAGGTTGATCAACAACAGGAAAGCGGGCAGGGTCAGCGAACAAGGCAATTGAAACTCCCAATTCTTCCACGCCAGAGAGTTCGGCTAGCTATCCCGGGCCTGGATTTTCGAATGCAGCAAGGGTTCCTGGTTTAATGGGCGCACAGCAACCATCAACGCAAACCTCACCAGATCTGAATTTGAATTTGGCGGGAAGCAGAAGTCAACCATCTGGTTGGAATCCGGATAATTCAGGTGGCAACCCCAGAACTGGAGTTTCGAATTCAGCCTCGGGTCATAGTTTCGGCAATCAACCGAATTTTGTAGGTGCGCAGCAAAATTCTACACAAATCCCGAGTGACGTGGCCTCATAATCATTGCAGGTTTGACAAACTTCGAGAAAGTCCATCCTCGTTAACCGTCGCCTGTGATTTTGTTCCTCTATTTTCTGGTCCAATTGAAGACCATTCTCTAGCTTTTACCCGGACCATGTCTCTGCAGAGCAATGTGTGGGCTATTGCAGGGAAATGGGCTTCAACCATCGCTGGAGCTCTCCACTCTGTGCTCACCGTCGTCGTCTTCCTGCTTCTAGACCTTCTCGATACTGTTTTCTGCTTAATTTACAGGTTCATCGACGAGTATCTCGAAGGGAAAAGAAAAAAGCCATGCTATTGTGAAAAGCGAGACGGGAATGGCAGAACTACCGGCGAGATTCAGCTCTCAGAGACGATGTGGGGTAGAAGAAACGTGTTTAGGCTAATGGGTGCTCGTCTTCCGTCCAAAAGACTCAAACTTCAGCCGGTGGATTGCAAGAAGTCGAGTGACGACTGCGGCACCGCCGCCGGAAGATGGTCGGATTGTCGGTGCGAGTCGTGTGTTTCTTGGACGAAGAACGGTGATGGCCGGAAATTGCATGTGGTGGTTAGAGAGCCGTCCTCTTCAGGTAATTCATTGCTGAAATAACACCTTAACACCCCATTAACGTAAAAACGTTTGTGCTCTTTCATTGATGTCCTTGTGGTTGGAATTTGACATTCTACAGCGGCTGGCTCTGGAGAATCGATTGAGAATGTGATATTTGTACATGGGTTCCTCGCTTCATCCTCCTACTGGACTGAAAGTCTGAAACTGTGTATTCCCCAATCTCTCCAAAAATCAGAACTACAGAATGTTTGCAATCGACCTTTTAGGTTTCGGTGAAAGTCCCAAGCCGATGGATTGTCTCTACACACTGCAAGACCACTTGGAGACAATTGAAGACTCAGTTGTGAAGCCATTTCAAGTCAAGTCCTTCCACATCGTCGCCCATTCAATGGGCTGCATTATAGCCTTGGCCCTCGCGGCTAAGTACTCTGGATATGTGAATTCCATAACCCTCGTAGCGCCGGTAAGTAAGCATCTACTGTACTCAAGTGGTAGACAACAACGGAAATGTTGAAGGTTGACTTGGTAATTTGTTTGAGTCCACTGGATGATTGATGCAGCCTTACTTAGCGATATAGGAAGAAGAAGAGTCAAGTTTGAGAGCACTTGAGAAGATTGTGAAGAAGAGACTGTGGCCACCGCTGATGTTTGGGGCGGCATTGATGTCCTGGTACGAGCACTTGGGCCGCTGCGTCTGCTTCCTGGTTTGCAGACACCATAGAGCGCGGGAGAAGTTGCTGATGCTGCTCACTCGAAGCAGGTTAGCATCGATTCTGATATCTATAGAATCTGGGTTAATAGGGATGTGGAAGATCGAGATCAATGTGTGTCGCTATGTTTGTTTTGTGCAGTGTAGGAATGTATATTTCATGCTGAGAGACTTGACGAGGCACACCCATCATTCGGCGTGGCACACGATGCACAATGTGATCTGTGGCGGGGCGAGATGTATGGATGAGTTCTTGGAGATGGTGTCGAGATCCGGAGCGAAGGTGTTTGTGGTTCATGGCGATCAGGACCCTGTTGTTCCATTGCAGTGCAGCGTAAACATGAAGAGGAAGTTTTGGGACAATGATAAGCAACTGACGTTAGATGTTGTGTGGAATGCTGATCATACCTCTGTGATTATGGGGAGGGAGAAAGAGTTTACTCGAAGATTAGAGCATATCTGGAAGGAGTCTTCTGGTTCCTGCCCTCCTTATTCACTGCAACTGTAATAATACTGGTCAATTGTTTGTTGATGGACCATTGGCTATGTATAAGTTCATAGAGGATGCATTTTCCCAGCATGTCAGCAATCTGAATTGGGCTAAATATGCAGGCAGGCTCATTGTAAGCACAGGTTGGTACCGTCTCATCACAATTTTAGGGTCTGGGTTACCTGCAGTAGCAAAATTAGGGATCTGGGTGTGTCAGTCTGCATTAGGGAATATTGCATAAGCAGTTTTGGCCAAGTGAAACTTGTAACGACGCCAAGTGACAATGATTAATCTTCAAATTATTAGCTCTGAAAGGAAAGGAATAGACGGAAGTTGAATGGAAGTAGGGCTGCAAATGAGTCGAGCTGCTCGTGAGCGGTTTGGGTTCGACTCGAAATTTTTTTTTTCGAAACTACACTCGTTTACTAATGAGCTAAGTTGGAGCTTAGACTTCTGTAGATCGCGGAGCTCGCGAGCTAGCTCGACTCGGTGGCTTGTTGAGCTCAACTTGTGAGCTGGCTCATTTATAGTTCATGAGATGTCTCAAATCTCAACATTGTGGCTAGAGAGCCAACTCGATTATCTAATTATGAGCGAATCGATCTATATGAGTTTGATTTTGATAATTCATAGAATTGTTAAATTATATATCACTCATATATAAAGTTTAACACGTAGATTATGTGAGCAAATATGTTTAACTAATTTTAAAAAGAAATTATGTATCATAAATTGTTTCGATGCTATGAAATAACATAATTTTCACTAGTTAAAATTTCTTAACTAAATAATTTGATATCACACAAAGTATAACATGAGATTAGTTAATATTGAACACTTAACTATTTTTATTTTTATTTTTATCTTGACATTAATCACATGTATCATGTTTAACATACAAAATGAATATATCAAATACAAGTCAAAATTTTATTAAGCAAACTAGCTCGAACTCGACTCGGCTCGTTAATAAACGAGCTGAGCTCAAGCTAAACTCATTTATTAACGAGTTGAGCTCAAACTGAAGGCCAAACAAACATATGTATGTTGTGTGTGGTAGTTGGGGTTTTTTGGTAAATGACTAATGAGAGTTGGTAGTCGAAAGAGGCCATAGGCGGAGCTAGCCCTATTGCGCATTGTCCCGGTACAAGGGTAAGTTTTGGGACGTAAAAAAATATCACATATATGATTATACTACAACTCATTACTTCATTATAAATTGACATAAAACTAATATATTATAACGAACAAAATCCAAATTGGAATACAGACATAATCATATCTCTTTTTTCTTATGCCTAATCGACTTTTTGCACATAAACCCTGAAGCAGTCCAGCCGCATTGGCAATTCACTAGTTTGGATTCTACCCGTTGCAACTGCAAGTGTAGAGAGAGTATTTTTCAGCTTTGAACTATGTTCAGAACAAACTTCTAAGTCAAAATGGCAACCAGTTTACTAATGGTTGTTTAGTATGATATAATGAAATAAAATTTCTTGAGAATGTAGACAACAAATGTACTTTCCGTTTCTTTCAGAATATGAAAATAATGATTGTATTAGGTTTTTTATTTTATTTAATCATTTGAATATCATTAGTTTTGATTATATTTATTATATATCTATTAATTAAATATTTATATTCTGAAAAGATAATAGGGTAGTTTCAAATCTTGCCTCCGCCACTGGAAGAGGCCGGCCACCGGCGGAGAGTAGGGGTTTTGGAGGGCTTACGATACGGTCAATAACCCATGTTTACTAACCAATGAGTAACTACATCTCAGCCATGAGATTTATGTGGGCCCATAAAATTTAGATCTAAGGGTGGAGAATTAAATGCTTTTTATTTTTCCTAGTTTCTTAATCGACCCTTATCTTCTTCGTTCTAACTCGAATTTCAATTTATTTTTTTTTTGCACAGATGGAACGAGTTCTTTGTGCTCTACAAAATGAGATCCATTTTCAATATATTTTGAGAACGTTTTTTTCATACATCTCGTTATCAACTCCATACCATATGGTAACTTCTTCATTTTTAAGTCATTTTTTAAAACATTTTCTCAGAAGGAATGAGTTCATCATGATCTATTTGAATCTACAAATTTCTAGGTGAAAAAATACAGGACTAAAAATTATCATACTTTACCACCCTGGTATGTGGGTGGTAACTTATGGTAAACAATGATGAAAATCCTAAATGACAGTTAGTATACTCCTACTATCATGTATTTAACATTCCTACAGTCTTGGTCTGTTCATACCATCATGGTACGCTTTCTTACCATATGATATGCTCCTATTCAATATCATATGGTATTGACTTGTAATAAATGACTCAATTTTTTTTCTAAATATATATCAAAATGGATACCATTTTAAAGAGCACAATTAATCTGATTTATTTGTGCAAAAAAATTAAATTTCAACTTAAAATGAGAGAGAAATCCTCCGTTAGAGATTGAAAGAGAAAGGATAAATGGTTTTCCATGAGAGAGAGATGTTGATGTCACGCTGATGTGGACAGGTTACTCATGGTTACTCTCCCTAAGGTTACTGACCTGATCCGCTCTCGGGAATTAGTATTTTGGGTTAAACGGGGAAGGAGGATCGACGGGTTGTGAGAATATGAGTATGGGCGGGTATGCATGAGCCAGGTATATCTAAATCTAAATCCAACCAATTGAACAGTGTCATGAATTTAAATCTGAATTCGGCCCGCAATCCATCAACACAAGTTTTACCCGTTTTGATAAGATTGAGTCAGATGCTATACCTATGGGTTCGAATTTTATTGCCATCTCTAGTACAGGGAGCGAATCAGGTGCATAACCTTGTGGTCAATAACCACATGCATATAACTCAATCAGAATTCGCCACATCAGCGCCTCTTATCTCTCTTGGAAAGCCTTTAATTTTCTCCCCTTAATCTTTAAAGGACGATCTCTCGCTCGTTTTAAGTAAGAATTAAATTTTTTTTTTTGCACAGTTAGATCTAGGGGTGGTAATCGGTCGGTAATCGGTTAACCGGTTACCGTTTGACCGGTTACCAGTATACCGAAAATCCCATTATCACTGCCGTTTGCCGATACCGAGTAAATTTCGGCAAACCGATTACCGATTGGGACGGTATCGGTTTTTGCGTCGGTATCCCGATTTACCGCCCCCTCCGCTGCCGAAGACCTCTTCGACTTCCAATCCTCCGACCTCCAATCCTCTGAGACCTCTTCGACTTCACGATACACCTTCCTCAAGACCTCAATCTCTGGGCCTGCAACCATGACCTCAACCTCTTCGACTTGCAAGATTTGCATGGTGGCTTTGGGGGTGCGGGGGATTTTTGGGCCGAAGTGGATGCTGGGGTTCTTGAAGATATGAAGAAAATTAGCTTTTTCAGGGAGATAAATCTAGTGAAGGAGATAGATTTGGGCCATTTGGCCTTTCCGTCACTGTCGTCTTCAGAGAGTTAAATTGGGGAGGCAATTGCAGTCAATCGGGAAGAGTAACTCGCATCGCAGTCACCGCCACCATCCTCTACCTGCGTCTCTTGCTTCGGCACAATCCGCGCTCCCGCCACTGCTGCATGTCGCCGCTGGGTTCCTAATCGCAGGCCGAGTGAGGCAAATCAGACAGAGAGCTTCAGGATGGGGGAGGAATCAACCGACGGTGAAGTTTGAAGATCGATTGCAATCGCCTTCGACCAGCAGCCAGCGGCGGCACACTACTTTGGTGGCGAGTGGTGACTGGTTCGTGGTGGAAGGAACTGCTGGACTGGTGTGGTGGATTGGTGAGAAGAGTTGGAGAGAAACGAATATGGAGAGATAGACTTCGTGCGGCTTGAGTCAGGGGAAGAAGAGAACGAAGTAACATTTTTTTTTTTGGTTGAAACGAAATAACATAAAGGGCAGTGTGGGGTTCGATAACTCGGTATAGCAGAATACCGACGGTAATATACCGGGAACGGAACGGTATACCGTGTGGCTAAAATTGACTACCGTATACCGATACCGCCGGTTATCGGTTATACCGATAACCACCGGTTACCGGTTCGGTAAACGGTTAATATGATAACCGTTATACCGTTTACCACCCCTAGTTAGATCAGATTAATTGTGTTTTTCAAAATGATATCTACTTTTATATATTTTGGAACAAAAAAATTTGAGCTACTTATTACCCGTCTATACCATATGGTATTGACTGTAGGGATGACAATGGGTCGGGTCGGGGACAAATAGTGCATATCCGTTACCCTACCCAAAGTATTTCGTGTTTTACCCATACCCACATGAGAAACAGGTAGAAAATCAAAACCACGCTCATACTCGTTCGAGTTTCGTGTATCCACAGTTATCCATGGGTAATAATTTCTCTTCATAACTTCAACCAGTATGTTAACATTTACATGTATTCTCACATTACGTAAGAGGAAAAATACGACAATAATTCACTAAAATTAAGAAAATTAATTAAAACAACACAATTTCATTAAAAATTATATTTATATGCTAAATATAAAATATGTTAGAGAAAAATAATGATTATTTCTAGTCAAAATACATATGCATGTGTATAATCGAGCGTGTTCGGGGTTGATAGTGAGAAACCCATGCCCACCCATTGCCTACAATATTCGGGTTCGGGTTTTACTTGTACTCACTAAATGTCATTCCGGTTCGGATTTTATACCCTACTCAATTAGGCCGGATTCGGGCGGATATTCATGGTTACGAATATTTTTGTCATCCCTAATTGACTGGTATTAAGTAAGAGCATACCATATGGTATGAAAAATACCACCCTGGTAATATGGTATGAAGTTGGTAACGAGAGGCATAAAAAATTTCACCCATAAAATTTTGAAATCCAATAGATCATGATTAAATTGTTTCTTATATGCAAAAATTTCCGAAAAACGACTCAAATTCTAAGGAGATACCATATGATATGGAGTTGGTAACGAGAGGTATGAAAAACAAAATTTCTCAATAAATATTGAAATAGATCTCATTTTGTAGAGCA